ATACGTGGTGTTACTAAAAAACTAAATGAGTACAGTGATGTTTGGAGAATTGGTCAGTTCAGAATCAATGTTTCCTAATTTATTAACCTATTAGGTTTTTGCTTATTCACTGTATTTTTACTAAGCAGCACTCTTCTATTCCCCCCCCCCCCCCCCCGTAAATCTTAATTTAAGTTTTGAGATAAGAGAAGAAAGTTCAGGTATTTCAGTAATTTTTTTTCAAGCCAAGTGTTGATGAAGAAAGTAAGGGATTAAGTTTACTATGTATTGTTACATTTTACTCTTTTACAGTAACATGCCTGTGGATGAATGTCTGTGTGTATTTCACTTTCTTCTTGTTACTTGTTGCTTTCTATCCTTTGACATCAAATATACCTTTACATACCTAATGAACTATCTGCTGTACATAGAATTTGAGAGAATAGGAAACTTGAGTCTGTCAGGTAGTTGTCCCACTTTGATTTCCCTATTTTTAATTGAAATGTAACTGCCATAGAAAAATGCCTAAGAAGTAACATTTACAAGATACAGGCAATAATTTTAATTGTATTTCTTTAGTGTTTCTCCTAAAAACTCAAAAAGTTTTCTCAAGTTACTACATTGTTACAGAGTATGTTGTTTTAACAGAAAGTTACCATGTATTTTATAAATGAATTACTAATTTCCAAAAAGCGTGTGTAATAAAATATAGCAGATACATTAAGTGTAGTTTCTTAGTTTCTGCTGAAAGTGTCAGGAATTTACAGTATTATGACCATTAGTCACATGCTGGATATTGCTGACATGCTGACTGATAGAGATTTCTGCCTACTATCATACAACATAACATAAACTTGTCTGTAAGAAAGTATAATGTTAGCTGTGGTGAAGGGCTCACTTTATATAGAGTTTTAAACATAATGACTTTTGTTTTCCCTTGATGGATGACTTGTTAATATTTTTGATTCCAAAAATAAAATTGTTGAAAAACTTGTGTAACTTTGTTCAGAAGTTTTTTTTTTTTAACACACAATTTAAAAGACATTGTGATCCCAGTGACGTAATCTATATTCTGTCCTGCAGATTTCTTTTGGTTGCATAACATATAATAGACATTTTTTCATATCAGTAGATATTACTCTATCTTGTTCTTTCAAGTGGCTGAATGAATCCACTGTATGAATGTCTCATGAGTTATTTGAGCAGTTTCCTGTTAATGGACGCTTAATGTTTTTACAGTTCTTTATATTAGTACTTGTGTGTGTGTGTATGTTTTCCACAAAGTCTTTTAGTCTATATATATAAAGGCAAACTTATTTTAAGTTCTTTAAAAAAAATTTTGTATCCCACAAAATTTTATGACAATTCTATCTAATATAAAATTAAGTTATTCAGGTTGAACCTCTGGCAAACATTGCAAGAAGAAAATTTCAGATAAAAAAGCAGAGACTCCCAACAAATGAACAGTCTCTATATTTTGCAAATAACATGTGATGTTTTATTAAACTGTTAAAATCTTATTTCTTTCTCTTAAAAGTCTTCATCTGCTTCAGAAGCTGCCTTTTCCTTAAATGAATATACCACAGATTTGTTTCTTTATTGTTTCATATTCCTTTAGTAAAAAATGCAACGTTTATTGTATTTAGGAGTAATTCCACTACCAATTTTAGCACTCATTTCTACATAGAATTAGAAGAAATGGAGAATGTTATCCCCTTAAGGATCTTATTTTAAAAAGTATAAAATAGAAGCATATATTGCTGTATAACCTAACTTGGGGAGGGGGTTCAGAGAGGCTTTTTAGAGGAACTGAATCTGAGGGATAGGTAGGAGTGAGCCTGGAAGAGAGGAGGAAGAAGAGTGTTTCACATAGATGGATCTGCCTGTGCAAAGAGCCGGAGATGAGAGAGCATGGTGCTTGAAGGGTCTAAAAGAAGTTCAGTACGGCTGCAGAGTACAGGTCAAGAGGTGAGCTAGAAGGGACCCATAAGGCTTTGTTAAGGAGTTTGGGCTTTATCCTGAAGGCAGTCGAGAGCCATTAAGGGTATTAAGCAGAGTAGTAACGTGTCCTCAGATGGAGTTTGTGAAGGATAGCTCTGGCTGCAGTACATGGAGAACAGGTTGGAGGCTTGCAAGGCTGGAGAAGGGGTGACTGGTTGGAGGCTGTTTGAGTAAACCTGGACAAGGATGATGGTGGCTTGACCTAGAATATTGGCCATAGTTATTGAAAAGAAAATTCAGAGGTAGAAGCAACAAGATATGGTCATTGATTCTTTTGGCTGTGGTAAAGTAGGGACCTGGGAGGAGGTGGAGGTGTAAGAGAGGGGGGAATCGAGGATGACCTGGTGACTTGGTGAATATTGGTGCCATTCCCTGTGCTAGTAAACACAGGAAGCCTTTGTAAATATTTAAATGAGTGAGTGAATGAATGAAGGATCTGAGATATACAAAGGCAGAGCCATTTGATGACAATGATGATAGCAAACACACAGCGCTCAATGGGTTTTGCCTATAAATTTTGCTGCTTTTTTTTTTAGCATGCTATATACAGCTGGTGCCCTTTTCTCATTACTTCAACATGTTGGGCTTGCTACATCTTCTGATCGTGTTTTGGATATGTATTACTTTCTCTAGGTCAAATGTCTTGACCTTCTGGGCAAATCTTCCTTTCTTCACTTAAGATGTGTATTAGTTTCTTATTACTGCTAGAACAAATAACTGCAAACATAGTGGCTTAAAACAACAAAAATTTATTATTGTACAGTTCAGGAGGTCAAAAATCTAAAATGAGCTAAAAAAAAAAAAAGATATCAGTTGGGCTGTGTTCCTTCTAGAGGTTCCAGAGGAGAGTCCATTTCTTTCCCTTTTCCACCTTCTACAAGGGCACCTGCATTTCTTGGCTCCTTCCTCCATCTTCAAAGTCAGCAGCATAACCCCTCACATCCCTCTCCCTGTGCCTCTTCCGTCATGACATCTCTTTCTCTCTCTCTCTGCTTCTGTTCTCACATCACCTTCTCTGACTCTGACCTTTCTGCATCTCTCTTGTAAGGACTCTTGTCCTTACATTGGGCCCACCAGGATAATCTCCCATTTCAAGGTCCTTGATTTATTCAATCTGTAAGGTCCATTTTGCCCACGAAGGTAGTATATTCACAGGTTCTGGGAATTAGGACATAGACATCTTTGGGGACCATTATTTTATCTACCACAAATGGAGTTTATTTAAGATGTAATAAAAATGTACTTGTCTACTGGGACAGTCATATGAATTCCTGGGTAGCACATTGCCCCCAGAATCCTTGCCCCTTGGCACAGCTACTCTGTCCTGTTCCTTTGGATCCTCTGCCTACACATCAGTCTTGGTTACTTATTTCTTAGTGATTCCTCTGGTATATCAGGCAGCTCTCTTGACCTGCTGGTGCCTTGACTAGTAACCACTCTACATATTTCACCTTGGACATGTTGAGTGAGAAGCAAAATCATTTATCAATTCAGGTCACCTAATAAATAAAACAAATAATAACTAATAAATAATACCAAAAAGGTCTTCTGTAAGACACTTGTCTACTATGTGGCTGCTTCCAAGCTTTGCTGTCACATTTCTTCTACAGCAGAAACCCTGTGGAGAAGGGAGACAACCCAGTTTTTCCTAGAGATTTTCACATTTCTCTCACCAAAAGTATTTCCTGAACTTTAGGCTTGAGACTTCTATCAACACTGTTTCCAACAGCAGTCCAGGAACTTTTGCTATACTTAACCAAGCAGTGTACTACAGAATTAACTCAAAATGGTTAAAGCACTGTAAAGGCAAGTGATTGAGAGAAATGTTATGTGAATTCAGGAGCTAAAGATATAATCAGAATTAATTCAGGCCAATTAGAAGGGGCTACTGGGAGGAGGTAATCAAGTTATAAACCTGGATTAGTTGAGATGATGAGGAATCTCTTCAACTATTCCTTCTCTATCTCCGTTGCTGACTCCTCTTATGTCTAAATGTTGGATTTTCACAGAACATCTTCTTAGGCCCTTATCAGTGCTTTCTCCACTTCTTTCTCAGATGATCTCATTCTTTCCAGTGGCTTTACCTCCCAAGCATTTGTTGACAATTTCTTTCTCCTTCTGAGCTTTGTTCTTAGCTCTAGATTGGTATTTCCAACTGCCAGCCTGATATTTCCACTTGAATATCTTTAAAGGTTTCTTAAATTAAACATGAGCAAAATGCAGCACTTTTGACCTATCTATGCTGTGTTCCCAGCTTCAATCTGTTCAGACTCCATCATCCTCACCTCAGTAAATGCTCTGTTTGCTTGGTTGCTCAAGCCAGAAACCTAGGAGTCGTTCTTGACACTTCATTCTGCCCTTACATCCCTCTCCTTCACCCCTCCATCTCTAGCCATTATCAAGTCTTGATTCTAACTCCAAGATAGATATCAAATCCATCCACTTCTCTCCACTGGAAACATTGTCAGCATTCTAGCGCAATCACTGTCGTTTGTCACTGAACTACTGCTGTGGATTCTGAACTCTCCCCTTCCAGGCTACCTTCCATCTCATTTCCTATGTGCTCTGTTTCTTTCCTGTCACTGTTTCTACCCCTCTGTTTCTCCTCCTCTCATTGTTTCCTGTGGTTCTTTTCCCCACTTCTCTATTCATCCCTCTTTCTTTTTCCTCCCCCCTTTCTCTGTTAAATCCATCATTATTTCATTCCCATCTTTCTCTTTCCCAATTAGAGTATGTCTCTCCCTTCGTTAAAACTTTTCCCACTGTACTTAGAATAAAAAATCCAATTTCGGGGCCGGCCTAGTGGCGCCGCAGTTAAGTGCGCATGTTCGGTCGGCTTCAGCAGCCCAGGGTTCGCCGGTTCGGATCCCAGGTGTGGACATGGCACTGCTTGGCAAGCCATGGTGTGGTAGGCGTCCCACATATAAAGTAGAGGGAGATGGGCACGGATGTTAGCTCAGGTCCAGTCTTCCTCAGCAAAAAGAGGAGGATTGACAGCAGTTAGCTCAGGGCTAATCTTCCTAAAAAAAAAAAAAAATCCAGTTTCCTCACTGTGGCCTTGTTTGATGGGTCTACTGCCTACCTTTTCAACCCTGTCCTAAGCCACACATTCTCCATGCTTCAGCCATACAGGCTTCTTTCAGTTCTTGGAATGCACCAAACTCTTTCTCTGTTCATAGTCTTTGCAAAAATTATTCTCTATGCAAAGAACTTTTCCTCCTCCTCTCTCCCTGGCTAATTCCTACCATTCTTCAAAATTGTATTTTTCCTTCAACAAAACCATTTCTAATCACTCAATCTAAGTCTAAAGTAGACCTGTGCTCTTTCTCTCTCTGTTCTTTCCTTCAAAGCAATTATCGTGATTTAACGTTGTGTGTTCATTCATGTATTCGCTACGTACAAAGTGAATGTATTCGCTTCATAAGGGCAGTCACAGGTCTGTTATGTTCATCGCCGTGTCTTTTGCCTCTGCTGCCTAGTTCAATAAAGGGTGTGAGCAAATACTTGTTGAATAATTGAATGAGTGTACAGCACATGAAAAAGCATATAGCCTGAACAGCTGTATAGCAACAGAATAGAGTGAAACCGATAGGGGGGACAATGAGGAGACAGGCTGAATGGGAGCAAAGGGCCTATGTTAGCTAAACTCCTAAAGACTTTTCTTCTAGCAAGAGAGTTGTAAGTCACAAATTTATACTTGAGTATCTTCCCAGTTATGACGTGGATATTTTAAAGCTTTATTTTCACTTATAACCATGTTTATTTTTATGTTAGTAAATGCTTTCCAAATTATGTTTAATGATTTCTGAGTATTATTATCCTTGTTTTCTTACCTTTTTAATTTGATAAATTATATTAAATGAACTATAATTATGTCTCATCCTAGTATTAATCATAACAACTCATTTGTTAAGTGCTAGCTATGTGTCAGGCACTTTATTTGCATCGTCTCATTTAATCTTTACAACAACCATACGAGGCAAGTAGTGGTCTTCCATTTTATAGGTGAGAACACTGAAGCTCAGAGAAGTTAATGATCCCAAGGTCATATAGCCAGTGTATGCTAGAGCTGGAATTCAAACTAGGTGTGTCTGCTACTTTCTACTAACACAGTGGTGTCTTTATGGTGAGTTATTTTAGTACACATAAAAAAATATGAAATGTGTTTGGTATGGATGTAGCATTTCTATTTTCTCTATTCAGTAATTAGGAAATACTTAGCTCAAAATTTTAAAACTGAGAAAGTTTTTTGAACAACTCAGAGAGGATATCTTCTTCAACTATTTTTCTAAATAAAGCATTAAAAAATGATGAAATGCTTTTTGACATACAGAAGGGCATGCAGACTAGCGTATTAACATCTGTGTTCTTACCACCTATCTTGAACTAAAGTCTTCCTGGTACAGTTGAAAATCCCCTGTGCATCCCTCCCAATCTCATCTTCCTCCCTCTCCTTAGCAGTAACCACTGCCCTGACTTGGGCATTTATCATAGCCCTGCAGCTTGTGTATCTTGGCAGTCATCTAGTGGCTGAGTGCTGAATGTGTGTGTGGTACAGTGGTGGTTCATGTTATTATTTTTCTGAAGAAACTTACCCTATTTTTTAACTTTTTTTTCCAATTCTTTTCCAAATTGGCCCTTGTTTGTACCAGGACTGAGTCATGCCACCTTGTGCCCTCCCCACCATATCTTATGTGAGGGTGAGGAATAAAAATGTACCCAGCCTCAGAGCCTACAGCTATGGGACAAAGGATCAGTTCAGCAGTTGACTTTTTTTTCCATTATCATCTGAAGTCAAATTGCCCTGAAGAGCCTTACCATAAATCACCTTGAGGATCTCATGACGGAAACTGCATTAGGCCCAAAATCTGTTCAAGTTTCGGGTGGATGAGCACATTTTATGTTTCTAACTTTTTCCCAGGTTTAGTGTAGAATTCTTCACCATGATCTCTGTGTAAGCTCCTTGTCTTGTGAAAGATTTTCATCAGGGTTAGAGTATAGTTTGGACTTGGTTACATGAGAGGTCCTTCTTTGCCCAAATCTAAGGGAAAAAAGACATCCTCAAGTTGGCAAATAATTGAAGTAATCTCCAAAAAGAGAGAAAGACAAAAACAAAAACAAGATAAAGTCAATAAATTGCTAATTAAGATGCAGCTCCAAGCATGAAGAGTTGTAGATTCAGTATAATTGGTTATGTGAAAAAAATAGAGACTGAGACTTTTAGGAAAGATAGAAAAGAGGAAAATAGATAATAAAATGAGTGAGATGCAAGAATTGTGATTGTGATGCAGATTGGGAATGGGGCTAACTATGGAAAAGAAGCTAGTCTTGGGATTAAATGCCTGAGACACAAAAATGGTTTAGAAAGAGAATGGTGAATGACTAGAAAATATCAATAACTGGCTCTTAGTATCTGGGACATAATGAGTACCCATGAATTAATTGATGAGTCACTGATACAATATCATCAGTTTATGAAAGTTTTCCAATAAAAGCATATATTTGTGTACATGATAGTTTTTCATATATGAGGATACATTTTAACTTGAGTGCCATTTATTAAGTAATTTCTTTTTAAAGGGAATACAGATGGTTATATTTTTGTCATCTTAAAAGTAGTGCTTTCCATTCCACAAGAAGAGTGATGTGGAAAAAAAATATATATAAAAGTCTTTTCTGCTCATGTTCAATGACCGAAGGTTGTGCACAAATCCTTCTTTTCTTTTATAGAACGAATTTTGTTGAATTTTCCATAAAAAGTGCAACTACTAAACATTCTTGTGATAGCTTCTTTGTGAAAGTGTCACTGTTCTTGCTTTGCACACGCCTTATAATTTAGGCCTTCTTTTGTTTTGGGTTGGCAGTTCCAACTGTTCAAGCTCTTGTCTGATTATGTGGGACTCCTTATTTTAATGAGAGCAGCTTCTTTGCTGCATTTTTTAAAAATGGTCTCGGAAGCTTCTTACTGTGGATCTTTGTTGGGGACAAAGGATTATTTATGCTAAAGGAAAATGTATTCCCCACTGAATTAGCTCGTGGGAAGCACAACAAGCTCGTTAGTAATGCGCAATTGTACTTTGGCCTTTTGCTATGGTAGAGAGAAGGAAAAATGATATCAAAAAGGACATTCTGCTATCCTTTGCCTTCCTGCAAAGAAAATATGGTGCGATATTAGACTTTTCAGTTAGGTTTAGCTCAAGTTCACCTTTGGTCCCAGAAGAAATGTTCCTGTAAGGAAGGTGGTATGTGTAGCGGGCACCGTGCATGAGGTATGTTTGGTGTAACTTAGAGGAGAAAATAACTTTTCCTTGGAAATGGATAGCATTATAGCCTTATAAACCATTTTATATTTTCTCTTATAATGTTTTAATGGTGGTTTACAATAAAAAATAGACTCATATATTATGCTGCAATAAGCAATCAAAAATCCTAGGTTTTATAGTCTATGTTATTCTGAGTGCTTTTAAACTCTTCACTTCTTTTTCCTCTGAAAATACATTAAAGAATTGTATTAACCTAGCTTAATTAAAGTTGTATTTTTTTTCTTACAGATTTCAAGAATAGTACTTTGGAGTTAAAATTGCTATTTGTTTTTTTGTCTTTAGCATCTCACAGAGAAAACTTAAGAAAAATTATTATAGAAAGGCATTGAATATTGTTTCATAGTTAAAATTGATGTTTATCTTTATTACTTTGTTGTCTGGCAGAAGAAGCTTATGGTTAAGCTTATGAATTTACATAGAATTTAGATGAATTTATATGATTTCTTTGTAAAGATTAGATGAGAGATACTTCACTTTCAATATCAGTTGTGATATTTCTGTTTGCATTATGTTTACATTATGTTTACAGGGGAAAATTCTGGGAGACTTTCACATGAGCTAAGTTTCACTGTTAATTTTATTTTACTAGCCAGATGCTTCAAGAATTACTTTGATATTAATGCGAGAAATGACATATTAAAATGTGTTTCATGTTTTCCTCTTTCAAATGAGCACTTTATAAAGTAAGAAGCTTACTTTATAAAGTAAGAAGCTCGGAGTGATTATTGAATTCTCCTATAGTCAAGCTATTCCAACTAGAAGAAAAAGTTTTGGGTTTTCAGTCAAATAGGAGAGTAAGCAGATTCCTTTGAGAGTTTGGGGTATAGGAAAGCTACCATTGTCTACATATTAATGTTTTGTTCTATTTTCAGAAAAGCGATTTCATTTCTATATAGATGACCATGCAGCCTGCAATTCAAGTAAGTGTTTTTCTTGGAAGAATGTATAATTAGGCTATGAGATTAATATGCTAAAATTATAATGTAATTAAAGACTAAAATTATCACAAAATGTTTTTATTGCATTAATTTTTTTAGGCATCAAATTTTAATAACAGGAATACTGTATTTGGACTTTCTAGTTCTGAAAAGATTTTAATTTTAAACTTTCATTTATACTGAATATTTGTAAGAATCAAAAATACCTTAGGGTTGGTGGGTCTATCTTACTTATATTACCCTGGGAAAAGAATTGGAATATTTCATAGTTTTTCTCTCATTACAACTTAGTATGCATTTGTAGTTTAAAGAGCTTTCAATGAAAACAAATATAATTTTTTATTTTAGATAATTTTTCATGTGCCCTGTAATGCCTGTAATAACAAGGCATTAAAACTTAAAATTTAGGGGCCGGCCCTGTGGCCAAGTGGTTAAGTTTGTGTGCTCTGGTTTGGATCCTGGGCATGGACATGGCACCACTTGTCAGGCCATGGTGAGGTGGCGTCCCACATAGCACAACCAGAGGCACTCACAACTAGAATATACAACTATATAGTAGGAGGCTTTGGGAAGAAGAGAAGAAAAAAAAGAGAAGATTGGCAACAGTTGTTGGCTCAGGAGCCAATCTTTAAAAATAAAAAAGGGAAAAAAAACCCTTAAAATTTAAAGAGTGGGTTTTTTTGTTTATTTTTTGATAAGGGGAGGCAAGATGGAGATAATGAGACAAACCAGAAAACCAGAATAATTTTACTTTTGAATGATTTCCAGAGTTGGTATTTGTTATATTATTTTTATATATTTTTAAGTTCTCTTTCTTTTGATAAAAATAGAACATGATTGAATTTTTCTTTCTTTTTTTTGCTGAAGAAGATTCTCCCTGAGCTAACATCTGTTGCCAATCTTCCTCTTTTTGTTTGAGGAAGATTTGCCCTGAGCTAACATCTGTGTCAGTCTTCTTCTATTTTGTATGTAGGTCACCACCACAGCATGGCCACCAAGTGGTATAGGTCTGCACCTGGGAACTGAACCCGGGCAGCCGAAGCAGAGCATGCTGAACTTAACCACTAGGCCATGGAGCCAGCCAAGAACATGACTGAATTTTAATTTACAGATAAAAATCACATTGAACGTCTCTCTAGAAAGGTGGAAGCAGCTGATAATAAGATTTGCCTTGGAAAGTGAGAACTTTAGAGAAAACCAAATTTCATTTCTGATTCTAGTTCTGCCACTCTGATTGTGAGATTTTTGGCAAGTTATTTTCCCTCTCTGAGTCTCTGCTTCCTTACCTCTAGGGTGAGGATGGTAGCACTTATTTTTCAGGATAGTTGTGGGGAATCAGAGATAACATGAGCAAAGTGCCTACTGGAAAGTATGTTGCATAGCAGGCACTTCAGAAATTTGGTTGTAAAGCTGGAGATTATACCTGTGCCGTGAAAGTCTTTTTTTTAATTAAGAAGGAAGGCTTATTAAGATAGCAGTGGTGGTCGCCTAGAGAAGAGAATTTATCAAATGGTTAAGAACAACTCTGAATGTGATTCTGCTTGTACTCCCTCTTATGCTGTGCAGCTGTATCCTTCCACTCTGCTAATAAAGAGTTCCATTGTACTGTTTTCCTTCTGGGACTTGAGAGTCCATGGCAGTCTCCCAAAAGATCTTATTATTCCCCTTTAGGTCCTCTCAAGTCCACACTGAGTATGCTCAGAACTCCTTTATTATTGAAAACCATTTTTTATCTGATTACTTCTATTTGTCCTCTTTTTATCTGAGTCAGAAATGTCATTAGTTTCATGGTGATTATATTTTCTTGATTCCTTATGGAGTGCTTTTTATTATTGCCGCAACGACCATGCTTTTCTCATCTCTACCCTAATGGCCATTAATATTTTCTTAACTTGGTGACTTTTTTCACAGTTTTGTCTTATAGTTCCATGAAACCTTCCCTGATCTAGATTCCACAGATCCGTCTTTATTGATTCTTCTCCAAGAGCATCCTTGACATCTCTCATGGAAGTTTTTGCTTCTCTCCCTGGTGAATGTGAGAACTTTCTAGGATTTTCAGCCCTTTCTCTGCTGAGTATATTAGACAGTTACTTAGTTATTTGTAAGTGCCTTGCAGAGAGGAGACATCCAGTAGATAGCTCTTATCAGTTGTTTTTTATTAATTTAGTACATTAAGATCTTCTTTGCCCTTTTTTTTTAAATGTCCTTTATTCTTATTAGTAAATAAACATACAGTCTAAAAATCACTGAGTAATAGTTCCTGATCTCTTTCAGGTCATAGTCCCCTTTGAGAATCTGACAAAAGCTATGAACTCTCTCTCTGAGAAAAGGCCCATTTGTACGTGGGCATAAAATTTTACCCAAATCTGAGTTAAGTTTATATACCTACTCAAGTTCCTCTATAGACTGCCTATGGATTAAGAATCTCTGCAGTACGACAGCTTTCAGCATGTTTGAGAACAGCCTTTGAACATGCAGTTTTTGTCATTAACATCTAACTTTTAGCAACATTAATGTGCCACTGACTAGCCCAGGTTATTATAGGCTTCTGCTTGCAATAACAGGAAAATCCAAGTACTCTTCTAACACGGCAAGAAATTAGAATGACTTTTGTTAATATTAGCTTCTTCATTTTCACACATGAGTTTTTCAAAATCACCCTCCTAACTAATGCACATCTTCCCTTGACAAACATTTGCATCTGCTCTGCCCTTTTCCATCTCAGCCAAATGGTTAAAGGACAAATAACATTTTATTGACTGTGAAATACCATTGATGGTAAGATGCATCTGGATTTTTTTTTTTAAGATTTTATTTTATTTTTTCCTTTTTCTGCCCAAAGCCCCCCGGAACATAGTTGTATATTCTTCATTGTGGGTCCTTCTAGTTGTGGCATGTGGGATGCTGCCTCAGCGTGGTTTGATGAGCAGCACCATGTCCGCACCCAGGATTCGAACCAACGAAACACTGGGCCTCCTGCAGCGGAGCGCGCGAACTTAACCACTCAGCCACGGGGCCAGCCCCAAGATGCATCTGGATTTTGATGCTACAAAGAGTTGTTTGCTAATATCTATTCCTCAGTTATTCGACAGATATTTTGGACTGAATACCATGTGCTAGGTCTTATACTGAGTCCGGGGATTACAAAGAGAAATAAGAAATGCTTATGAAAGGAAGATTTAGATAGTAAATCTTATAGTAAATCTTTGCTATACTCCCTTTGAAATAATTTGAAGAGAATTCAGGGAAATAACATGTTGTCTTTTTCCTAAAATTTTATAGGATCCTCATATATTTAGGAGTTGATTGCCCAATCTCTACCCTCAGTTCCTCAAATAATGTCCCTCAAATAACTTATGTTTCTCTGTCTTTGAGTATTTTTGTTGAGTTTTGCTACTCCTGCTTGCCTCTTGTGGTATATATTCATTTTATTTCTTTGCTTTTGGGATTTTTTTTTTAAATGTTTGTTTCTCATTGTAGGTGATTGGAAGCAACTATGTCCTTTTTTTTTTTTTTCCTCCAAAGTTTATCTGGATTAACAATGGTGTTGTTATGGCTTTTGATTTGGTGTGGTAAGACTTTCCTCAAGTAAACCTCTGTGAGTTTAACATAGTTTAGGGGGAAGATTATCTGTATTTAAAAACCAAGAAAGGACTAGATTCACTTGATATTACCTATACTTATATCTCTTTTTTTCTCAGCTTTTTAAAATTTTATTTTAAAGCAATCACAAACCTGCAAAGTAGCTGTTAAGTGTAGAACCGAGATACTTGTTTGCTGAACCATTTGAGAGTAGTTGCCAATCTAATGCCCCATTACCTCCAAATACTGCAATATGTGTGTGTTGCAAACAAGGACATCCTCCTATACAACCACAATGAAATAATCAGAATCTGGATATTAACATTGGTGCGGTCCAGAATCACGTGTTCTATGTAGTTGTCATGTCCTCTAGTGTTTATCAGACTACAACAGTGTCTCAGTCTTTGCCTTCTTTAGTGACCTTGATACTTTTGAGTATTACAGATAAATTCCTTTGTAGATGTCCTCAATTTGGATTTACCTGACGTTTTCTCATGATTAGATTCAGGTTACGTGTCTTTGGCAGGAAAATCACAGAGGGATGTCGTGTTTTCTCATTGTGTCCTAGCAGGTGGTGTGTGATTTTGATTTGCCCTATTATTGATGGTGTTCACCTTTGTCACTTGGTTAAGTTGCTGTCTGTCAAGTTTCTTTACTATAAAATTACTCTTTTCTCTTTGTAATAAGTATTTTGTGGGGAAGTACTTTGAAATTGTATAAACATCTCATTCCTCATCAATAATCTTTTTTATTCACTTATTTATATCTATAAGGACTGACTCATAGTTGTCCCTTTTATTCAGTGTGTTATAATCCATTTATATCATTATTTTGAAGCTCAAATTGCCCTTGATTTAGTCAGTAGAAGTCCCTTTAGGCTGACTTCTATGTCCTTTGGCATATCCCCATCATTCTTTGAGCACGTCTTTGCTTTTTTGGTAAAAGTTGTTCTAGTCCTACACCATAGAATTCATTCTAGTTTTCTCTCATTTCATAGTTGTACCTCTCTTGTTTGTCAATGAGAAACCTGGCTCGCATTTTATAAATCCCCATGTATGTAAGCAGTCTCCCATTGTTGCTGCCGCCCCCTCCCTGAGTTGATGCCCTGCTCAGCTCACTTGGGCTCTGACACTCTGCACTGAGTTGTTCCCCCGTTGTCCCCAGTGGGCACCCTCCTTATCGTATTCATGGTCTGACATTGTCACAGGGCTGTCCCCATGTGTGGATGCCCTCTCACCTCAGTCAAGCTCTGACCCTCCATTTCAAGCAACCCTCCTGGGAGAACCCCCTTGTCGCTTCACTTAGGCTCTAATACCCCTTCCTGAATTGAGAATTGCTACAGTCTTTTCTGTAAATAAACTTATGTTAAATTATATCTAATCGTATTTCAAAATCTTGCAATTGTTACTTTGATAGTATGTTTATGCAATTTTTGTTTTAAATCAAGGATTGGCAGTAAATATCTTTGGCTTGGGAGTCAACAGGCAAAATCAAGGCTGTTATGTAGGTACTTACGTAACAACCATTTTAAAATGTAAAAACCATTCTTAGCTTGTGGGCCATGCAAAATCATGTGACAGATCAGGTTACTTAGAATTTTTTTTTAGGTAACACTGTTATTGTGATTTGAAGTTTACAGAATGCCGTTTATACATTCATTCATTTATCCATTATTCAACAAATGTTGCTAGGCTCTGTGCGAGATGCTACAAAGATGTGTCTTGTAAGGCAGGTGTCATTAGCCATTTTACAGCCAAGATGCTGAGACTCTGGTCAAGTAACTTGTTAAACTTACTCAGTTAACAAGTGAAAGAAAAATATTATTTGTTGACTTTTATCTTCTTGGTTTGTTAGTAGAATCTGTCCATTAATTAGAGATTCACTTACATTTACCACAGTATTGAATACTGAAAATGTCTCAATTATCTAGATAATAGTTTGCCTCTAGTTTATTAACTTTCTGTGAGCTGCTGCATTTTTGTTTATGTGTGTATTATATATGTCTATAATTCATCATCTAAATATAGATGTGGATTATGCTGACTTTTAATAAGGTTGCATCCATTCAGTTGGTTGGTGTTTTCTCTAGGTGTGGTTTGGAGAAGACTTACCTCTAAGTCCACGGAGTCCTCTGACCCCCAGGCATGGGCCAGGTTTGGCTGATGTTTGTCAGTATGATGAGTGGATAGCTGTGAGGCATGAAGCTACCCTGTTGCCCATGCAAGAAGATCTGTCAATCTGGTTATCAGGTTTATTAGGTAAGGCTTGAAAAGATACTCAAAATTGTATTCTCTTATTCAGTAAATATTTACTGAGAATTTTACTCTTTGCCAAGGAGTGATTGTTCTAGAGGCCGGGGATGCTCTATTGAATAAAATATTCCATGTCCTTCTTCTCACCAAGCTTACATTCTAGTTGGGGAGATATTCCAATTCACCCCAACCTTTAGGGCTTGAATAGTAAGGAAGTTTGATGCTTAATGGAAGAGGTCAGTAGTAAACTTTGAATAATGAACATGTTCATGTTAATGTAAAAATATTTTTTTAAAATGTATATAGCTCTAATTTGGGGTCCATATTTTACTGATTTTTTCTCCCTTAATCTTGTATAAGGCATGAGATTCTGAGTAGAATATACACTGTAGTTAAAATGATAACTATTTTTGAGGCATTGAGAGGCAGAGGCTTATGAAACCCGGGAGGAAATGTCAGTTTGGCAAATGTTTGGCATCATATTTGTTTACTCAGAGAATATGAGTGCTTTGAACTTTCTCCCAAGAAAAAATTCTCTTTTGAATACAGAATTACATGTCACATTCCAAGGTTTTCGTGAAAAGGAATGTATAAAGCTCATCTATGGCCTTCCCATGATAATCAAAAACACACTAAGCACTTGCTCTAATTATCTCATATCAATTTGATGATTTGGATAATTTTTTAAAAATTTATTATGTAATAATAATGCTTCTAAACAAGGAATTTTAGAGGTGAAAAGTTGGTATTACCTGTGTGTTTATGTTATTATCTTTAATTTTTAAATTGCAGCAAAGTCCATCTTATAGAGAATCTTTCTCTTGTGCGAGCAGTATTAATGTGCGGTGAATCAAAACTTAATAGTGAATATTGAAATGTAAAACAGTTTGATCTTTTTTAAATGAGATAAAATAGATCTCATTTTATTTTTTCTGCACTTCTACATCACAGATATTTTTATTTTAGTTGTCTTATATTTAGTTTGACATTATCTCCTATTTTAACTGTACCTTCTAAGAGTGAATACTTGGAGTTTGACATGATATTTGTCTAGTGTTTCGACTATAATCTGATTACATTTAATTAAATTTTTACCATATTGTTTGAATTTACTGTTTCTAGAAGAACTTTAACATTGAAATATATTTTTAGGTATTGAAGTTAAGGCAGAAAGATTATTGGAAGAACTTGATAATGGAGTACTATTATGCCAGCTGATTAATGTTCTTCAAAACATGGTGAAAACATGCAACTCTGAAGAACCAGTGGTAAGAAAATGTTTGGCAGTTGTGATTTTATACCTTGGTACATATTAATTTGTTTGAGTACATTTCTTATCATCTGTACAAGGTTGTAAACTTCTACTCCAACTATCTATAAGACCTTGGATAATTTACTTAATCTTTTTGAGCATCTGGAAAAATATTCTCACTTGTAAAATGGAGATATTAACACTTACCTTGTAGGATTTATTTGTGAGGATTCAGCAAAATTAAATGAGATAATATATAGATGCTGTTTAGCTTAGTGCCTCGTGCATAGTCGATATCCAGTGGCTAGCTCTTGTTGAGAATCGTGTTAGTACATTCCATATATGATTCTTGTGAGAGTTAAATGACAGAAGAGCTTTTGGTGGTTCCTGGCATACAGTTAGGAGCCATCATCATCATCATCATCATCTTTATATTCTCCATATACTGTCTAGGTGGTAAATTCTGTAAATATTGATTGAATGAATAGTATTCCTTTTTAGACAGTTTTCCTCCATTGACCCTCAAGTCATGATTTGAAGTAGATAAGATTTCCTCTCTTTTCATCCACGTCGGTGTTTTCACTCTTGGGATCTGGGGTCTGTGAGTGTAGGGTCTGGACACTCACATAGTGTTGGTGGAAATATAAGGTGGTATCATCTTTCTAGGGGACAGTGGGTGATTAACTGTGTGGTACCTAAAGAGAGCGGAATATCATCCATTTGTTAGAAATGACTACCTTAATCTGTTATTTTTTACCCTAAAAGATGCCTACCACCTATCATTAAATGTGCTTGCACACATACATGCACAAATCAGATCATAGAATAGCATGTTTATGTAACATTCTATAGGTACAATTGATACTGTCTTTGTATTTGGCTTTTTTTTTCCAGTGATCATATATTCTGTATACAATTAGAAAAACTTACAAGGCTATTTTAATTCTGGAAAATAATAGCAAGGGGAAGGTTATATAAGGAACTCGATAATAGTGGTTGTCTCTAGGGAGAGAGGAACTGAGTGGGAGAGGTGGGAGAAAGACTTATACCCTACTGTGCCTATTGCATTTTAAAAAATCATATACATGTATTGCTTATTCAAGTTAAAATTTAAAACAAACCTAAAAATGCCTCAGCCTCAGCAAGATTATCTAAATACTCTTGGTCCAGATAGTCAAAAAATTAGGATTCTGTAAAACTTAGACCATCAATTTTCAAAGAATTTGAATTAAGACTGGGCCACTACTTCCTTATTTGATAGTCGCTTCAAGAAACTCAGAACCATATTTATGAAGCTGCCAGTAAGGAAGTAAGCAAAAATGAGTGTGTCTGTTAAACTTTGACATAGCAATAATTTTGTGTTTGTATTGAACTGTATGTGGAGAGACATACTATAGAGATATGCTTGGGAATTATTAGACTGTCATTGTTTATGTTAATTAAGATTCTTATGTCATTTTAAAAATAAAGAGGTTATAGATGCATGGTCCTACTGCTAATTTTGACCAGATTGTTTTTCTAGGAATTATTTTCTGAAATATACTTAAAGGAAAGTAAAATAAGGTAATTTTTGAAGATACCTTTTCTCCCTACTGCTGCATACTTTTAAGTTACATTCAATGCACTGAACACTTATTTAGTCCATAATATTACAATGTATTTCTCATGGAAATATCCTTGATGCATTTTGGAAATTATTCGTCTTTTCCAGAATTTTCCAATGAGAAAAGTGCCCTGTAAGAAAGATGCTGCCTCAGGTTCATTCTTTGCTAGAGATAATACTGCAAACTTCCTTCACTGGTGTAGACACATTGGGGTTGATGAAACTTACCTCTTTGAATCTGAAGGTTTAGGTAAGTATATTTGTTATCGCTGTTCTGTTTAATGTTTATTTGGGTATTTTTCTATGCCTTACTTCTTTGTCTTTCCAAATAAGGACTCAAATGCTATATCCCATTTTCCTAGGAAAATTTATACTTTAAATATTTGTGAAACAATTGGAGAATCAGATTGCAAATCAAATATATTAAGCTTTTCTTTTATGGTTGAAGATCTTATACATCTTGAATATCTTAGAAATATTTTACTTCCTAAATGAGTTGGCTGTAGGAAGGTTCTGGACTAATGCTTTACTAATTAATGTTTTCATCAAGAATTACTCTACCAAGTCTAAATTACTAGTAATTTCTCTTTAACTAGATAATTATAGAAATAACAGAAGGCCAAAGAATATAAGCTCATGGTATTTAAATTTACCTTGTGAACATCAGCTGCCAACTTGATTATCTACATGGATTAATGTTTTTGACAATTCATTTTAAGAAGTCGGGCTCTACTGAAGAATTATTGACATATTTTCTCATTTCGTTTAAGTCAACAGAAGCATCTGTGCAGTGACTAATATGGAAGTTATCTAAGTTTTAGACTATATATATATTTCCTCAAAGCATTTATATATGTGTATACATATATATAGAGAGAGACACACACAGAATTTATAATGTTTTGATAGGAGTAGTAGCATACCAAGGGCAGAGGTTGTGGGAGTAGTGGTGTGCCTTGGTAGAGAGAAGTATTTTATCACTGACATTGTTTATAATTGCTGCCTCAGGGTGATAATAAAAAAGCACACCAACTTTTAGGTGGTTTTATTATTGTTTTAAAATTCTCTACTGACTATGCACACCCTTGTTGCCTACACATGGGGTAGGCTGTTCCCACTGCTACCTGTTTGGTATGCCTCTGGATATTCCTATCTCGTAAATTGTAATCGATTACTCTTTTACGACGCCCCCCACCAAGTTGAACTCTACTTTAATCTAGATGTGTGATCATTGTTGACAGTGTGGTTGATTTAATGACGTATTTAGCTTCTCCTGATCAAAGAAAAGAGGAAATGCTTTGAATTCTCTAGTTTCCAGTTTACTGTTTCTGAAAGCATATAAGGTTGTTGTACATTTCTCATTCCCAGTAGAAGACATCTTTTGACTGTCCTGAAGGTCAGTATAGGACTAATAAAGCACTGCCAATAACATTAATTCATTCTAGGCATTGAACTATAAGCTAGTGTTTTTACTTTCTAAAAGTCTCAGAGATGAACCTCTTAATTTTTTACATTTTGCTAGGAACTCAAAACAACTTAAATAAACAAATACACTATTTTAAGGCATTTCTCAGTGTTTAGAGAAACAAATTTAATAAAGATTTCAGGATTAATTGCTTTTGGAATGACTTTTAAAGACAAATGTAGGCCTTTTTATTGCTTTGGCAGAGTAAACTTTATGCTTGAGGTATATAATAGATGCTATCCATAAATCAAAGAACAGCTGTTATTTCCATTGTAGGGGGAGTCAGTGTACTCATAATTCCTCATGCATGCCATTATTATATTAGAGTTCAGAAGTTTCCTAGAGTGTTTAACTCTTAAAGATAGGAGCAGAAAGGTAGATGATCCACAACTACCACATTGGTGCATTTAGCAAGAATTCTGATGATCTGGGGTTTTTTGTTTTGCTTTTTTTTTTTAATTTTTAAGGATCTCTGAACTATTAGGCTTAGTAGCATTTGGTTTCCTTAAAAATTTTTTTAAAAAGCTTTAAAAATTGTGGTAAAATATATAGAACAAAATTACCATCTTAACCATTTTTAAGCATATTAGATTTCATTAATAGCACTTAAAAAACAGCTATACTTCATGTGATGTAAACTTCATCATTGCAAAATGTACACTTTAGAGACTTTTAGTATATTCACTGTGTTGTGCAACTATCACCACTAATTTCAGAACATTTGCATCACTTTCAAAAGAAAGCCTATGCCTTTTAGCAGTTGGTCCTGATTACTCCCTACCTCTATCCTCTGGCAACCACTAATCTACTTTCTTTCTCTATGGATTTTCATATTCCGGACATTTCGTGTAAATAGAACCATACAGTATGTGGCTGTTGCATCTGGCTTCTTTCAATTTGCATAATAGTTCATTTATGTTGTAGCATGTAACATTACTATGTTACTTTTTATGGCTGAATGATAGTCCATTGTATGGCTGTACCACATTTTTAAAATCCATTATAAGCTCATGGACATTTTGATTGTTTTTACTTTTTGGTTATTATGAATAATGCAGCTATGAACATTTGTGTACAAGTTTTTGAGTGAACGTATGTTTTTAGTTCTCTCAGGGATATATCTAGGAGTGGAGTCATTGGGTCGTATGGTAATTCTTTGTTTATCTTTTTGAGGAACTACCAAACTGTTTTCATAGTGGCCGCACCATTTACATTTCCACCAGCAATGCACAAGGGTTCCAGTTTTTTCACGTCTTTGCCAATGCTTGTTATTGTTCTTTTTTAAAATTTAAATTATAACCATCCTAGTGGGTATGAATTGGTATCTCATTGTGGTTTTGATTTGCATTTCCCTAATGGCTAATGCTGTTGAGGATCTTTTCATGGGCTTATTGAAGATTTGTATATTTTCTTTGGAGAAATATCTATTCAAATCTTTTACTTGTTTTTTTGGGTGTAATTTGTCCTTTTTTGTTGACTTGTAAGAGTTCTTTATTTATTCTGGAGACTAGGCTTTGTCGGATATATGATTTGCAGATATTTTCTCCTAGTCTTTCGGTTGCCTTTTTACTTTCTCAATAGTGTCCTTTGATACTAAAAGTTTTTAATTTTGATGAAGTTCAATTTGTCTTTTCTTTGATCAAGTGTGCTTTTGGTGGCATATCTAAAAAACCATTGCCTAATCCAGGGTCACACAGTTTCACCTGTGTTTCCTTCTAAGAGTTTTATAGTTTTAGCTCTTACATTTAGGTCTTTGATCCATTTTGAGTTGTTTTTTATATATGATGTGAAGTAGGGGTCCAAATTCATTCTTTTGCATGTAGATATCCAGTTGTCCTAGCTCCACTTATTGAAAAGAGTTTTCTTTCCACTATTGAGTGGTCTTGGCACCCTTGTTGAAAATCGATTGAACATAAACATATGGGTTTATTTCTGGATGTTCAGTTCCATTCCAGTGGTCTGTATGCCTATCCTTATGCCAGTAACACACTGTCTTGATTACTGTAGCTTTGAAATAAGTTTTGAAATTGCAAAGTCTGAGTCTTCCACTTTGTTCTTCTTTTTCAAGATTGTTTTGGCTATTCTATTTCTCTTGCTATTCCATATGAATTTTATCATTAGCTTGTCCATTTCTGGAAAAAAAGGCTATTGGAATTTTGACAGACGTTGCACTGAATCTGTAGATCAGTTTGTAAAGTATTACCATCTTAAGACTATTATGTCTTCCAGTCCATTAACACAAGATGTCTTTGCAGTTATTTATATCTTTAATTTTTTCAACAGTGTTTTATAGTTTTCAATGTACAAGTGTTACACTTCTTTGGTTAAATTTATTCTTAAGTACTTTATTTTTGTTGAAGCTATTGTAAATGAAATTGTTTTCTTAATTACAGTTTCAGATTGTTTATTGCTAGTGTATAAAGTATAATGATTTTTGTATATTGCTCTTGTATCCTGGAACTTTGCTGAACTTGCTTATTAATTCTAATAGTTTTTTGTAGATTTTTTAGAGTTTTCTATACAGAGGACCATGTCATCTGTGAATAGACATAGTTTTCCTTCTTCCTTTCCAATCTGGATGCCTTTTATTAATTTTTCTTGCCTAAATGCCCTGTCTAGAACCTCCCTTACAATGTTGATAGAAGTGGTGAGAGTGGCCATCCTTGTCTTTTCTCTGGTCTTAGGAGGAAGACTTTCAATCTTTCACCATTAAGAATGATGTTGGCTGTGGGTTTTTCATAGATTTCCATTTTCAGATTTATAAACTTCCCTTCTGTTTCCAGTTTGTTGAGTCTTTTTTTTTTTTTTGAGGACTATTAGCCCTGAGCTAACATCTGCCACCAATCCTCCTCTTTTTGCTGAGGAAGATTGGCTCTGAGCTAACATCCGTGTCCATCTTCCTCTACTTTGTATGTGGGATGCCTGCCGAAGCATGGCTTGATAAGCCATGTGTAGGTCAGCACCTGGGATCCGAACTGGCGAACCCTGGGCCACCAAAGCGGAATGTGTGAACTTAATTGCTATGCTACCAGGCTGCCCCATGTTGAATCTTGTTTTTTTTTTTTTTGGTGAAAATGTTTTTGATTTTGTCAAATGCTTTTTCTGTGTCTACTGAGATAATTGTGTTTCTTTTCCTTTATTCTGTTAATATGGTGTATTATATTGATTGATTTTTGTGTGTTGAACCAACCTTGCATTCTTGGGGTAAATCCCACTTGCTACTGGATTCAGTTCACCAGTATTTCGTTGAGGATTTTTACATCTATTCATAAAGGATAGTGGTCTTTAGTTTTCTTATGATGTCTTTATGTAGCTTTGGTATCAGGATAACACTGGCCTCATTGAATGAGTTAGGAAGTGCTCCGTCCTCATATTTTTGAAAGACTTTGAGAAGGCTGTTAACATATAGTCCTATGCTAAAGATAGTTTAGAATAAAATTGATGTGCTACATCTCTTCAAATTGTATCTCCTATGGAGAGATCTGAAAAATAAATAATTTAATGTTACTAATCCCTTAGCTTTTTCGACTTAAAATGCTATATGAATAAGGGTCCATGGTAAGTTTTCTTCCTCTTCTTCTTAGCCAGTTTTTTTTTTTTTTTTAATTTATGGAAGATGAGAATATGTAGAGAAAATCAAAGTGTCTTTTCTAAGTCTCCAAACAAGTAAACTTATTTTCTTCATCATTCTTTTCTTTTACTTCTTCCATACCAGAATATATTTCCCTATTTAATTCTGCTCCTTACAATATTTGATCTTATTTTTTCACAGTTTTACATAAAGATCCAAGACAGGTGTATCTTTGTCTTCTTGAAATTGGTCGAATTGTGTCAAGGTGTGTATTTCATGATATTTCAGAATTTCAATGTCATAAACGTTTTTTAAGGTACTTTATGTAGCTAGAACACTATTTTCTTTAAGTAAAAGAAAATAATTTTTTTATTGAAATAAAGTAACTTAATTTCCTATTTTTTCTTTCTTTTTGTTTCTTTGTTAACTTTGTTCTCTTTGTGTGACCTATGTCATGTGTCAACATCTGCTTGCCTTTTTTTTATATTAAACTGTAAAAGTGGTTACTTAAGTTTTTTAGATTAAGAATAGAGTAAGAGCATGTAGTCTTTTAGCAGTTCAAAGTTAGGCAAGTCCTCCAGACTCAAAGAGGATCTGATGAGAAGGCTGAGCCTTGTTGTCCTCCATACCTAGCTGAGCCCTATCTGAGCTGATTTTGAAGGTGCCTTTCAGGATCTCTGAAATATTAAATATTGGGAGCATCCAGTAACCCAAATAGATGCTATGATGTGAAGATTATAATCTGAATTTTTGGCAATCTGTGGGAAATTTAAAAGGATTTCCAGATGTCTCAGTGAAACAATTGGTAGAAGAGAGTCATACAAGACTTCTTTTAAAGATAGCATATAATCTATTGTGACATGCAGGGAAGTGCTTGGGTCAGACTTAGCTTGATTGATGAGATCTCCTAATTGGTTTTCAGATATGGGGTTGAACCACCAGTATTAGTGAAACTTGAGAAAGAAATTGAGCTAGAAGAGACCTTACTCAATACTTCTGGGCCTGAAGAGTCCATCAGCATTCCAAAATCATGCTGTCAGCATGAAGAGCTGCATGAAGCTGTAAGTAATTGCCACACTTTCTTTCTGACTATGATGCATCAAAGTCTCATAGTTTGCCACAGGTGATACTATGTTTAAAAGAAAATGTTTCCTATTCAGAATATACACTAGTACTAATTTCCACTCCCTTGTGAGTTCAGGGCACTATATGTTAAAAGTGATTTTTTGTTGCTTGTGTATGATGAAGAATGGATGTGTAGTTGAGGAGCAGTTGGGCAAATAGGCTGGAACCCATCATGAACAGTACTATTGGCCACAAGAATTCATTGTTTTTTTTTTTTTTCCTTTAACATGGTAGTGTTATAAACTGGTTTGCAAATTATAAGAATCACTCTCATGGTCATGTAGAGATTATATTGGTTTCATTGTAGAAATCCAGGCATAAGATGATCAGAACCTGAACTCGAGCAGTAGTAGTGAGGATGAAGCAAAAGGAACAAATATAAGACATATTTAGGACTTAGAATTGACAGGAATACTATTTTTTTTTTTTTTTAAAGATTTTACTTTCCCTTTTCTCCCCAAAGTTCCCTGGTACATAGTTGTGTATTTTTAGTTGTGGGTCCCTCTAGTTGTGGCATGTGGGGTGCCACCTCAGTGTGGCCTGATGAGCGGTGCCATGTCTGCGCCCAGGATTTGAACCAGCGAAACCCTGGGCCGCTGAAGCGGAGTGAGAGAACTTAACCACTCGGCCACGGGGCCGGCCCTGAGGAATACTATTTCTGATAGGGAGGGAAGAAATCTAGAATGATTCCCAAGGTTTCTAAGTAAGTAGTTGGAGACTATAGGACGAGGAAAAGTTGTGAGGGCAAATTGATGGAGTTTTTCTGAATATTCTCCCTGATGGATATATGCGGACTTGTTAGATGATGGGTCTCAACTGGAAAGTCTTCTTAACTTTACCTGTTCATCCCTATGTAGAAGTTAATAAAATTTGTAGTTGCTTAGGCTGTATGTCTTCTGCAATGACTACAACAGTATATTAAGTGATGGAGGTGAACTTTTCTGCTTAGACTGTTCTTAGAATTCCTGGTCTTTTTTGGGTAGTAGTATTTTATGAAAGTGCTTAATGTACAAAATTATTTAAGAAATAATCAAGTCATTACTAATAAACATTAGAAAGTGTTGCTTTGTTTGTTTTGTTTAATGTTAATAAAAGTCTATAGTAAAACATTTGGATAGCCCTGTAAGACAGATTAAGAAAATGTCAGCCTGAACAACTCTTTATCAGGCCAAAATGTATTTACCTACATTCTATTATTGACATCCATGATGACTGAATATCAATATGTGATGCAGCAATAATGTAGTAGGTAAAAAGTAAAACTTATTTTAAATCTCATATAACCTAAAACAATGATTAAATAAAAAGAAAAACGTTGCGAAAATATTTTTTATTAAATAAGAAATACAATGTGTTAATTTCCCTATTATATAAAGACCATATGCAGTTAGATAAGAAAGACATTTCCAGTAGTTAAATAAGAAGGACTGTTAGTCACACAGGAAGAACATATGATGTTGAAACTTGCTCGTAATTAAGGAAATCAGATATACAATTCACCCCATTAGCAAAATTTTTTAAAAATATGGAACCTAGTGCTGGAAAGTTCTGGTAAAACTATACTTAGGGATTACTATTGGCAATGGAAAATGATGTAAGCTGTTGAAAAACAAATTGACAAATAGATCTCAAGAGCCACAAAAATGTTCCTCTTTCATTTTTATTGTAATTGAAGAGAAAAAATAGTGAATGAAAGTGTTTATTGTACAGTAATTTATAATGTGAAAATGTGGAATATATAAATCTCAAATAGGGCAGTGGCAGGTAAATTAGGATTCATTATCTGAACAGAATAATCATTTTATGTGATCATTATGAAGACTGGAGCAATGAGAAAAATGTTTATTTTGTGAAAAACACGTGTATATAGACAAAATGTATAGGAAGAAGGAGAATGAAAATAATCGATAGTAGGGTAGTGCCTTTGCAGATGATTTTAATTTCTTTGGCTGTTTCCTGTAGTGTTATAATGTTGATTATGCAATAGATAAAACGGGAAGAAAACAGTTCTTACTCACAGCTCTTAGATCTTTTACGCTCACACCCTTATTTATATTGTGGGTTAGTGCTGATTTGTACTGCTGAAAATAAGTGAAATTTGGATATTTAAATAAAGAAAATAAGTGACTTCTCATGTCTGCATTCTTCTATGAAAACTAAAAAGGCACACATTTTTCTCAATATATATGTGCTATGTGAATACATTCAAGGTCCACCTATACCTATGTGATCTACCGAGATCTTGGGGTCATGTTTAAAATAAGGGACAATTATTATCTGATTCATTATTTAAAGTGCTGTTAAGAAGTATACAACTGCAGTTCCGTGTACTTACGAAACGTTTATGCATAGAATGCAGTGATTGAAATAAATACCTCCTTTCAAGTTACTTTGGTTAACTAATGTGTAAATGTTTCTAATAACTGTAAACTCTTTGCCCAAGTTCAGTTTATTTTTAGCCATTTTATGCATGTGGTGTATGTATGTATATGTGTGCATATGAATATGTGTGCAGGTGTTCATATATATTCAGGCTATGAACAAGACAAACTTGATTGTTTAGCTTATGAAAAGCAGTTCTATTTATGATCATGTTATTTTGTAAAATGAATGATGTAGGGAGATAAATTCTGGATCTTTCAGGCCCTGGTAAATCTGTGTGTCCATTCATTTTGAGTAGATAATGAAGACAGTCGTAATTTCTGTTAGTGATCAGCTAAATTGGGCATATCTAAAGAGACTTTCTTTAACATCATGCCCAAGTTCAATGAAATGAATTTGTTTAGATATATTCTGTGTGACAAGTAACTGAGAAAAATATTCATGGCCTTGCTTTTTCAAAAAGGTAATTTTAGGAAAATAAAATTTTTCCACAATGGTTGATATGTGATTCTCTTTTTCAATCAAACATATCTAAACAAATATCTTCATTTAATCAATGTATTTTAATTTCCTTGTCTTCAATGTAGGATTCCTGAATTTCTCTTTACGTGTACTCCAGTTTTTGCCACTTTTTGGATATTCACTGCAATTAGAAATTTTGTAAACTCCTTGAGGGATAGAAGTAAGGATTTCTCCCTGACTCTCGTCTCCTTAGCAGGCTGTTGAAACAAAGCGAGCACTTTAGAAAAAGGCCTCTTGAATTGAATTTTTTACAATTTTACCTAATCTTGGGTGAATAGATATAAATATGTCTCTGCTTGTTTTAACAGTATCTTTAGAACAAATCTAGATACTCCCCTACAGTATTAGTTTAGCACAGTGTTAAGAGACAAGTAAGAATTCCTATTTAAGCTTTACCTGACGGGCCTATCTTTGATTTGACACAGACAGATTATTCCAGACCTTAAAACAAATCAAACATGATAATGAACTCGTATGTTTCCTGTGACTTAGTGAATGCATTTTGAATTGACTTCACTGTGGTACTCACCAGCAAACCTTCTCCGGTGGTCAGGGAGTACTCTCCGAGCCTGACCGAGCTGGGCCAGAGAGAGAGAGAGACTGACTCAAGACTTCATCGCTGCTAGTTTTTATTAGATTAGCTAATGTCTAATCTCAATATGTCACCAAATAAAGGAGAAGAGATAATAAGTAGCTGAACAATCTTTAAATTTTTATCTTTAAGTTTAACTTTCCCAGCTGTGAAATAACCTTGCATTTTAACATTAAACAAAATACTTTTTGTCACAAGCACTAAATTTTGGTATTTGTTTTTAATCTTAGGTTAAACATATTGCTGAAGACCCTCCTTGTAGTTGTTCTCATCGATTTTCTATTGAGTACTTATCTGAAGGACGGTACCGACTAGGAGATAAAATACTCTTTATAAGAGTAAGTCCACCATTTACGTCCTATTTACATACAGATCTTGTTTTGAAATTGGATTTATTGCTTTACCAACCTCGTTTTGCTCCCCTTTTACTTTTTAAAAAAATTGGAATAGAGGGTGTTATTTATGGAAGAATTGCATTGTACAGGAAAGTTATGGCATACTTGCTTTCATGAGTATATAATGGGTTTAGATAAACACCTTTAACACAGCAAACAAGTAACTACAGGATGGTTAAGACTGTTTAGACATTGAATATAATTGGAGGAAAAAAGTCTTTGTGTACCTCAGGTAACATACCATTTTTCAAATTTTCTAAAAAGGACTAATTCTCCGTCATAAGAAGGAGAAAAAACCAAAACAATATATCTAATAAGATTAAATATCAGTAATAAGAAAAAGAAATAGAAACATTGCCATTTATAGTAATATATACTTTGAGTCTTAAGAGTAAAACCTTTTGTCACTGACGCAGCATCAGTATATATACCACATGCTGATATACATGTTCATTTCCTTTCTTTGTCCCATCTGCAGTCTGCAATTGTTTGTCCCCTTTGCTGATAGGAGGATTGGAGTTTCACCTGCTCAATATTTTGCCCACTTCTGATACAAGAGCTGTTTTATTCTCAATTTAGGAATATAATATGGAAGTATTTAAAAATATAATTTCACCATCCATATTTTCTTTTATTTCTTATATTATTATTACCTCCCCTCACCCTACCCAACTCACACAGAAACACCAGTGTGCACTTTCTATCTTTTAATTAGCTTGCTTTTTAAGGCAATATGATAATAGGGATCGTGCACAGAGCATGGGCTTTAGAGTTAAAATTCGCAGGGCAATCTCATATAATTGTGCAGATCTGCCTGCTGAATGGAGGGGGGCCTGAAATCCAGCTTGAGCTGTGCTGGTGACCTGGATGTACCTTATCTGCATAAAAGCAGTGTTTGAGGTGGGGCGGCCTGGTGTGTGAGGCCAGGCCAAGCGATGTGACTGGGGACAATTTCCTTAATCTCTCAGAGCCACAATTTTCTCATTTGCATAGAAGAACTAAGAGTAAATTATATCAAAGTTTTTGAAAGAAAAAATTGATATAATACATATGAAAGTAATTTATTAAGTTGTAAAGTATGTTTTAGTTTTATCTTTCTTCTATAATTACTTTTTTCTTTATGATGAGACGTTTTCTGTAAGTCCCTATTTCTCCCTCTCCCCCTCCTTCCCTCTCTCTGCTCTTTTCTTCCTTTGATACTCAATTAAAAAAAATTTTTTTAATGTGTAAAATTTGACAAGTTTAAAAAACTTTTTTAGAGTTTTATGGAGGTATGATTGAGCAAGTAAAAATTGTATATATTTAAGGTTACAACATGGTGTTTTGATATATGTACTCATTTTGAAATGATTAGTATAATCAAACTAACATATCCATCACCTCACATAAGTACCGTTTTTTCTTGTTTGTGTGTGTATGCTGAGAACTCTTGAGATCTCCTCTCTTAGGAAACTTGAAGTATACAATACGTTATTGTTAACTATAGTCACCATGCTGTACATTAGATCCTCAGAACTTATAGAACTTACTCATCTTATAACTGAAAGTTTGTATACTTTGATCAATATCTCCCCTTTTCACCCACCCTGCAGCCTCTGGTAACCACCATTCTACTTTCTGTTATAATGAATTGGACTTCTTTTTAGATTCCACATTAAATGAGATCGTGCTCATTTTTTTTATTGAAGTGTAATTGACATACAATATCCTATTATTTTCAGGTGTACATTATAGTGATTTGATATTTATATACATTATGAAATTATCACCACAATAAGTCTAGTCACCATTCAAAGTTATTACAATATCAAATTCTTTACTGAACAATATTGCCATTGCAATTTTGTCTCTTAGCAATTTGGATTTTTAAGATGCAAGATATGTTTAACCATCTTCCTTACAAATTGGAGGACTTTGTATTATTAGTTGCATGATTCAATATGAATTATTAATTAATAATAAAAGAAAGAGACTGTCAATTTATAATGAAGCTGTTGGCAAATTAAAAATGTGTTGAATTTAATAGATCACAGACATCACAAATTGTGAGTGCTAATGAACTGTAACTGTGAACCTTACAGTTTTACAGCTTTATTTTTTACTTTCTTTTGGGGAAAAGATGCTTCATGGAAAACATGTCATGGTCCGTGTTGGTGGAGGCTGGGATACCCTTCAAGGATTTTTGCTTAAATATGATCCCTGTCGAATATTACAGTTTGCTACACTAGAACAAAAAATTCTAGCATTTCAAAAAGGAATTTCTAATGAAAGTGTACCTGATTCGTCTGCCAGAACACTTCAGCCTCCTGAAATGAATCCTTTGTCAGCAGTTAGCATGATTCAGAAACAAAAATCAAAACCTGGCCCACCAATTGGTGTTCCAAGGAGCAAAGAAAAGCAGGTACGTCCACCAGGTGGGTTACTGCCAGCATCTTCCCTGAAAGGAAGTAATCTGGGCTCTGTGTCAGTCCGTTCTAAATTGCCAAATTCCCCAGCAGCGTCTTCTCATCTCAAACTCAAGTCTTCAAAAGGCATAACAAAGAAACCAGAGGCTCCTTCAAACAGTGTATCATCTTCACTTGCTTCTTTAAATCCAGTAGATAAAAGCGCTGCTCCACCAGCTTTATCAAGAACTGCACCTTGTGTTTCTGAGTCATCGAGAAAATGTATCTCATCATTGAATACTCCTAAGGTCAAGTTTATTCCAGCCCAGAAGTCAAGAGATGTGCCTAAGTCTACACTTTTGCCAAATAAGTCTTCTGGAAAAACAGAACCAAAGCATTTGAAGCACAATCATGCATCTTCCAGGGATAATGCAGTATCTCACTCAGCTGCACATTTAAATTTATCATCAAAGTGTCCGAAGCTGCCTAAAGCAAATATACACATAAGGCCTAAACCTTCTCCTTCTTCCCAGTCCCCTGCAAAAATGACAAAATCCAGTTCTAAAACCATAACCACAGGTCTAGGAACGCGGTCTCAGCCATCTGATGGAACCTCACAAGCAGGGGCAACGCCAGCACAGAAACTTAAGTCAGCCTTGAATTTAAACCAGCCACTTTCTGTATCCTCAGTTGCTCTTGCAAAAGCTGCACATGAATCAAAAGATAAAAATATGGTTTCAGTTGCTAAAAAGCAGCCTCAGAATAAAAGTACATCCCAGAAGACAGGACCCAGCTCCTCAAAGTCCCCTGGCCGTACCCCACTGTCCATCGTGAGTCTTCCTCAGTCTTCTGCCAAAACACAAACTGTACCAAAGTCAGCACAGACTGCCACTAAGAGCCAGTGTTCAGCTACAGGGCCTCCAAAAAGTGGCAAAGCCCCAGCTTCAACCAGGAAACCACCCTCATCTAGTAAGGAAGCAGTTAGTGGAGATAAAAAACCTACTGCAAAGAAAAAGGAAGACGATGACCATTATTTTGTTATGACTGGAAGTAAGAAACCTAGAAAATAAACACAAATGGGTCATTTTAAGAAAACAGAGGAGAAAAGAAGAGAGTAAAGCTGTTAGCTTCACATCTTAAAAGTTTCTCCTATTTGCGTTTGTCCAAATAGGTTCAGACATTAAGTATAATAAGATGTGGGTAGAGGTTGGGGTGAGGAAAGGCTTCATCAGAATTCATATGTCTGAATTCACCAGAAGGTACCCTTTTGAGGCAGACAGTTGTAAAATCACCACAAGTTCTTATTAATAATAGACATTTATATGATTTTCAATCCATAGTATCTTTGTTATTGTCTGCCCTTTAAGGGAAATGTAGGGTCAAATAACACTGCTAGAGTTATAACTGGTTGCTATATTTTTGAATATGTATTAAATGTGCAGGTTATATACCTGCTAATAGCAACAGTGGTGCTCTTAATATTAGTTATTGCATTGTAGTAAAAAAGCAACGGTTTGGCACTTCTCTTACAAAAGGCACTTAATTTAATTTCCTGATCGGGATTGCCTGATTAAACAATACTGTAAACACTAATGACTGGCGCGGATTAGCTTGGCATTACTGCAGGTTTCGTAGGATGCGTGCTAAATTTTTTTAAGCTTTCTAAATAGGAAGAAACTGATTTTTTAACTGGCTTATATTAACATTGGTAATATTTTGTTACCTATATTTTTGGTAAAACAAATTAAGGTATTGAAATATAAACTGAAATTTCGGAAAAATACAAGGCTTTTTATATGTTATTTATAAGAACTTATACCTTATATTTTAAATGGATGTTGTGCAATGTGAAAGGGGAAACTGATTTAGTAGTGTTTAGCATATTCAAAATATATTTCAATATTGTAATTTCCAAGTGCAGATATGAATTTTTACATTAAAATATGTTTTTACATCAGAACTGTGTTTTAACAATCTTAAGATTATATTAAAGAATCTTAGAGTGGTGCTATATAAAAGTTCTATCATGTGATTGTTATTTTTCTTTAGATAGCACAACAATACCGGTTTTAATTAGACTCTTCCGATTATGTTAATTTTCTTTCACAAATTCATGCTGCGTTCAGTTTTCCAATGGCAAGTGGACAGTTTATATGCAGAGTTTTCTGCTCTGTAGACGATTCGCCAAGGATCATATCCAGATCATGTAATGACTGCATAGATGCCATTGACCTAAGATGATATTTGTAAATAATGTGTTTTTTAAGAGATTGTGACTATTTAAAAAAACATTAATGTACTTTTAGAAGTTTTAGGGGTGTGTTTAATAACTTTACAGCATTATCAATTATCACAGGTTATTATATTCAATATTGAGGTTTGTGTTTTTCTATTTTAAACTAAAATGTGTTTTCTAAAGAAAAATACAGAATGGTTTACACAAACATGCACTCATAGAATAAGCATCTTAAGCTGACTACTAATGTTCTATAGGTTCTAAAACAAGAAAACTGTATAAAACAGTGATATTTTGTCTGAGGAATACAATTAAAATCAAAGATATATACAGGCTAGTTTTGGGAATAATTGATGCTTCTTAAAAGAGACAGTCACCAAATATTTGGTTTAGTTCTACTATTGATCTGGGCATTGAGAGAGAGAATATTTTCATCTCTGGAAGGTGAAGTCAATGTTCAAGAAGTTCTAGAAGCTTTACGTTTTTAGTGATCAGAAATATTTAATTTTTAATGGATCTTTCAAAGAGGCAGAATTTTACCTTCAAGAAAGAATTTATTCCCTTGTAAGACCAAACAATACTTCTGTATCAGTAACTTCTAGAGCATAAAAAAAAATTAAATGATATTATAGTCAACCTATGAATCCAAGTAGATTTTATAATATGTAAATAGTAACTTTTGTGTTGAGAATAATCAGGAATAAAAGTATCCCACAGGCATGTGGCATCAGTTCCAAGAATTATTTTTTTGAAAAATTGGAAGTTAATTTATCAATAGCCATATTCTTCATTTTTTTTGTCTTTTTTTTTTTTTTTTTGAGGAAGATTAGCCCTGAGCTAACATCTGCTGCCAATCCTCCTCTTTTTGCTGAGGAAGACTGGCCCTGAGCTAACATCTATGCCCATCTTCCTCTACTTTATATGTGGGATGCCTACCACAGCATGGCATGCCAAGTGGTGCCGTGTCCACACCTGGGATTTGAACCGGCAAACCCGGGGCCGCCAAGAAGCGGAATGTGTGAACTTAACCACTGCGCCACCGGGCAGGCCTCGCCTATTCTTCATTAATGGGGAGTTTCTCCAATTATATTCATGTTGAGGATTTTTATTTACATATAGCTTACCCTTCGAAAATAAAGGTTTTTTAAAATAAACAAGGGCTCAGAGACACTTTCTTCAAACAAACATATTTTGAAATACTCTTTAAGGGCTAGTGGTTCTAATTGTGTTCACAATTTTTAAAATACATTGTTGAAATTGGAAAGAAGTTTTCCATTTTTTCTTAATAATAGAGCAAGATTTTTTTTGTATTTAATATTTAATAAAATTATTAAGCTCAAGTTACTGAAGTACCTTTCAATGTGTACTTTCAAAAAAGAATGGAATAAGTTTTTATTTTTTTTTTTGCTATAATTTGTTAGTGTGACTAATATATCAAATTAATCTTCAGAGGAAAATGAAATGCTGAGTATTTTAAATTGCTGGAACTAAGTAGATGTTTAAGGTTTATATCTTCAAAATGTCTTGATAAATTAGATGACCTAACTTTCTTCTCCACACTGAGTTTACAGTTCTTAATAGATAAGGGAAATTTTTTGAGAGAAAAATACTGTTTCTTCTGTAATCTATCTGATTTAAAAATCTATTCCTTCTTTAAAAGGCTTCAGTAACAGGTTATTATGATGCATTCTTACATACAGGTTCATATATTGACTCGATTTGAATCCAAATTTGTGTATATTCTTTTCTTGTGCCATCAGTATTTGTATCAGATTGTAACTTTTATTTTCTCAAGTATTAAAATTTAAACATATATACCAAGTTCTCAATTTGCTTTTTTGTGTGTTCTAAATACATTCTGATCGCTTGGTTCATGTGATACGTTGCATATATGAAGCATTCATAAATTGAGAGTAGTTTTAATTTTATTGTTATTAAAAATGCTCTTTTTACATTTGTAGAATTTATGTCATTGCTTGTAGGAGTTAAGGTTTTGCCATTAAGTAGCAGTATTTCCCCAAGTTGCTGTATCTGCTAGGAGTTTGTCTCAGTAAGGCTAGACTCATATTTAATAATTTCTGAGATAAGAGAAATAATTTGTCAGTTAGTAAAGCAGAATTCTATAGATCACATAAATATTGTGTTCACAGAAGGCTGCTGATAGTAGGAATTTCCAATTCCTGTAATTGTGTTTTAATTTCACACTTTGATAGAGTGAGTATATTCTTGAAATACCCATTTTTTCCTATATTCATGATCAGAGAAATTATAAAAAGCAGTTAATTTAATATGTATTTCCTGTGATGTTTCCAAAATGAAAAAAGGGAAACACCACTTGACAAAATTCTTATATTTTCCTAACCATTTGTGAATGTAAAATGTTTACACTTAAATTCATTTTATGAAATTTTGGGTAATGTTAGGAGAATATTAATGAAATCTTTGCCAGTAAATCTGAAAATATAAAGATGTATTATTGAATTTAAATGGTTTTCCTATGAATATATTGCTTCGATCTTATAAAAAAATACAATAAGATTTGATCTTGAAGAAATATATATGCAAAGATTGGGCTATAAGATATTAATCAAATCATCATTAATATTGGTATAACCATAAAATAGAATACCATACAGCCATTAAAAATGCTGTAGACGTTGATTTATCTTAAAAGAAGTATGTGCGGTGATGAAGTGGTTTGTTTTGAGAGACTGCAGTCATAAGACATTATATGTAATATTTCTTAATTTCCTGCATTCAGCCAAGAACAGCACAATGCTTATTACCTGTTATGTGGGCACATGGTATGTGTTACCTATTATAATTAACCTCCTGTGGCTAGTCTTTTAGGGTTTCATATAATACCTTTTATTTAATATGACCAACTTTCTTAAATTACTATTGGTAGTTATTTCACAAATTGTCATAGTGGAGTGAACAAATATAATAAATAGAACACATTAATGTTGGGTATGACTGTTGAGGACCCCTAGTGGTCAAATGTAGCAGTGTTGAAACACTTTTTTGTCGACTGAAATCACCATTTACTAAAATCTGAATTATGGGAGATGGAAAGAGGAATACAATAGTCATCACGTTCAAGAACCCTGGGTTTATATAGTACTTTGCAATTCAAGAAAAACTATTACATTTACCTCCAAACTTCTGAACAATTCCATGAGGTAGTGTTATCTCCACTAGAATGTAATTACCATAGGGACAAGAGTGGCATCTATTTTGTTTACCACTGTTTCCAAAGCCTAAACCAACACCTGGCACATGGTAGACATTCAGTAAATATTTGTTAATAAATAAATGAATAAACTCTCTTTGTAGATGAGGAAACTAAGGCTCACAAATATTGACAATAAATACGAAAATACCTACTAGGATTGATTAATTGAATTTTATTTAAAGGATAGATATTTTTACCTATTCATGCTTTTCCACAAACTTGATTTGCTCTTTATGATAATGCAATAAATAAATAGGTCCTAAGTGGCATCTTTTAAAAAATCCACTGGAATATCACATCCTGGTTTTTATTTCTTCTGAGAAAAATTTTCTTGATTTGTTTTTGAATTACCCTTTATTTTAAATATTGTAGACTTGAATAGATTTAGAGATTAGTGTATTATTATGTTTATAGTTGGATATTTATAAAGCACTTAACTGTATTCAAAGCATTCTTGGAATAATGAATTATTGCATTTAATCCTCAGGATGCTGTGATGAAGTAGGAATTCTCTGTAAATATTTGCTGGATAAATGAATGAGAGAAAAATAAGTTAAATCTAGCACAAAATACTTGTATTAGGAATTAAAATCAGTTTCCTGACAGTGCAATGGAAATAGATATTGGTAAAAGATACTACTGTAGGTGGCCCTAGAACCTCCATTTTAAAAAACAGTTAAAAATATGTGTTTGTTCTCTGAGTAAGCAGGTTTCATACACTTCTTCCAAAAGGAATAAATTTCTCTCACACAGTCCTGAAAATATGATACAAAGTTGTGTCATGTAGATCCCTTCAGTAATTCATTGCACCATTCTAGGTGTTCAGGAATCCAATAAATAGCTGTGGAGGAGGCCAAACTGGTGTATTTTGGAAGAGGAGTGGAACATGACATTTAAAATTTTAATCCCAAGCACTGAGGTAAAATGAAGGGAAGTGCCTTTAAGCAGCAATTTGCAGTAAGTTCCATTTACCTTAAGTATCAGCAAAAGCAATTTTTCAAGTTCATAAAGTCCCAAGTCTTCTTACAGCTTAAAAAAAAATGACGCTGCTGAGAATTATAGCCTTTGAAATAAATGAAACTCAAAGGGCAAGCTAAGAAGGGAGACTAATTCAGAGTCTTCAGAGGAAATACTAGCAGGAGATGAGAGGTGCTAGTCTTTTGACTTACCCATTCCTTCCCCACATTCCAACCCTTCACCTCCCTCACGGTTATCCTTCATGTCTTAAACATCACTTACTTAGAAACTTCCAGACCCTCCAAACTTGGATTGGATGCCTCCAGTGCACTTTCTTCCCAACTTACCTTTCACTGATCATTGCGTTGCCCCTAATACTAATTTCCCATCTACTTGTCTAAATCCCTCACCAAACGTAGGATGGGAACTCCATATCTCACTTGTTCACAACTGCATCTCCTGCACTTAATACCTAAATGTGTGTGGACGAAAGGAAGCGGGGAAGGAAATATCCTTTTACTGATGGAAATAAGCACCAGTATGTGTAAAGTGATCCTCTAGTTTAATATTGTTCATCCACCTGTGAAAGG